ATAGAGAAGGGCACACCAACTTCATCCACGTCAATGTTCGGATCGCCTGTAATGACAGTTCGGGCAGAAAAATCCACGCGCTTGCCCATCAGATTCCCGCGTAGACGGCCGTACTTTCCCTTCAGACGTTCCGTCAGTGACTTGAGCTTCTTTGTGTCGTTCACCTTCGTTGGCTTGTAGTACATGGAAGCGTTGTTGAAGTACGCGGCCACATGCTCTTGCAGCAGCGCGCGACTGCGGTCCACTGCCACCTGCACATCAGACTCCTTGTCCTTCCGCAGCTGATTATTGCGCTTCACAATTGACATAATCTGATGCGTGAGCTCGTCATCCGACTTGAGGCTGCCAAACGATATGGCGGGCCGCACTTGCGGCGGTGGCACCGGCAGGACCGTCAGCACGAGGTCGCGTGGGTGACAGCGCAACGCGTCAAACCCCATCACCCGCGCGTCCTCGTCGGAGACACGGTCGAGCACTTGGCGCGCGGTGTCCGCGTGCCACACCATGTCCTGCTCCTCCAGCGTTGCCTTGATGATGAGGGTTGGGTAAATGCCGAGGTAGCGGCCAATGCGAGGCTGCGTTGCGCCACACCCGCGCGCCACAACCGCCTCCTCGGGCGTTGTGGCATCCGTTGACATGCGACACTTCATGCCGCACATCTTTACCACTTGGCGCAGGCGATTCACGCCGGTGAGGTGCTGCAACTTCTTGTGCACCTGCGGGTCGTTGGTGTCCATGAGAAGTGCACCGCAGGACTTGCACACGCACTTTAGTACCTGCAGCACAATGTCAAAGACACCAATGTTAAAAACAGGTTCCGCAAGGTCAATGTAGCCAAAGTGACCGGGGCACTCCGGGTGCTTTCGGTGACACGTCTCGCAGGCAAACTCAAAGTCGGTGGTTCCCATGCGAAGATCATTAATGCCCCCACGCACAGGTTGGCCGCGCTCGTACGACTTGGCGTGCTCCACGAGACACACGGCGTAGTCCTTAATCTGCTTTTCCTTAAACATCTCAAACTGCACCTCCACGACCTTCTGCAGGTCCATCTGCGACGGCGGCAGTGGGGCCCCACCGGACATTTTTTAAATCCTTTACCACGACCACACAACAAAAACACTGCAAAAAAAAACGAAGGAGAGAAGAAAAGTGCACCTTCTGTGCACATGAACAGGAAAATACAGCCCAGGCCCACACAGACATCCACAGAGAGAAAAAAAGGCAGACACCAGAAAACTACAAAATAATTGTCTGGGCTGCTCGCCAGATCCTAAATTTATGTAAAGTAAATTAATAGGGGCGGGAAAGAAAGAAGGTAAAAGGAGAAGCAGTGGGTTTCGCCTAAATGCCTGCCTCAAGTAAATACATGCATATACACACATCTACATTCGTATTGTCGCTCACGTAGCATGTGGCACATTGTTAGAATTGTAAATATTACGACACATAAGGCGGTAGGATTTTGAGGATCCTCCAGCCACAAGACCCCACCGCGAGGCGAGCATCGCAGGAGGGTGTGAGTGGAACGGAAAGTGAAAAATCAAAAGTAAAGAAAATATTCGTCCTACCGGCATCGGCTCTCTGATTGCGTCCATCGTCGGTTTTCACAAAACAATTAACAACACAGGTAAAAAAAAATCGTCAATAAAAAATAATCTTCGTTCTTATCAAGAAATATATCAATTTCGGCGGCCAGCATTCTTCTCATCACTCGTTTCACCGACACCAAAAAAAAACAAAAAAACGTATCAGAACCACAGACTCACATACATCGTTCATTGGCGGCCCAGCACACACACGCACATCCTCATCACGTGCCCCCAGCAGAAGCACACACGCACGCGGGTCGAGGGCAGGGAGTGGCACGCTCCACGGGGGCAGAGGGTAGTCAATGACACATTCCACTTCGTTCGGCCACGGAGCACACAGGGCACGAACCGGGGTGCAGCAACCAATCAAGCAATACATTAGTATCCAACACGCACAGGAAACATATCATTTCGTCCATTTGTCAATCGCACGACGGGTATATCACTTCCTTCGAGTACCGTTCCACACGGGCAACAGGCGATGTGTCGTTGCCGAAGCGCGCCATCAGCGCAGCGTAGTCGTCCTCCCGCACATGATGGACACACATCGAGGTCGGCACCACCTGCGAGTGCCCCGTTTCATTGCGAGCGTCATGGAAATGACAACCCAGCATCTTGACGTATACCATCGGCTTGTACTTCAATTCGTTCACCAGCACACGTCCCACCATTACGTCTTCGTGCTGCATGTGAATAGAAAAAAACTCTTCCTCACGTTCCTTGCTGTACGGCAGGTATGCCAGGCGCCGCAGCGGCTTGTACGACACCAACGCCTCCGCCACATCCCTCGACATGGTGTAGCACCAGCCAACCATAAACAACACATCTATAAAACTGTCCTTCACCCATAACGATGATGCAGCATAAACACCCATGTAGATCCCTCGGCGCGGCAGGAGGCGCAGGTGAGCAACAAACAGCGGCACACGGAGGAAAATGTCGTCATCGCCCTTCGCAATGTACCTCGCGGTCGGGAACAGGCGGTGCGCAAGGTCAAACCACATGTACGTCTTGCGGGTCATACCAATCCCAGCCTCGATGCCTGAATACCCCCCAACACCCACTTTTTTCTCTGGTGAAACACGGCCCTCGTTCATTGGCAGCGCAACCACGTCGTTCCACTGCGCCGCCTCCTCCAGCAGCGCGGCGGAATATTTGTAGCCGTGCGACGGGTGTCGCCCAAGGACGTACAGCACAAGCATCGCACCGGTGAAGTCGTTCACCCTCGTCGCCACTCCGGGGAACCACCAGCACGTCGACCGCTGCAGGTTGCGTCGTGTTCGCCTCGCCTCGTCGTCCGTGGAGATGATGCCCAGCACAACCAGATACTCCCGCCGGCTCCACGTATCCACAACACGGCGTGGGATGTAAGCAAGCGCTGCGTCGTCCACTGTGGAGGCTCGCGGGTGGCGGAGGTTGTTGGGTGCCGGTGCACCATCATCGTCAGCGGGGACAAAGCTGAGGGACAGAACAGTCGTGACCGCAATGAAGAAAATCAGCAGTACGGCAACCCACCTCAGCTTCCGCTTCATCGTCGGCAGCTTCGTTTTCGCCATGGTCGCTTTCGGTGTGAGAGTCTAGGCAAAGGAAAAAAGGGCGGAGAGAGTGTGGGGGCAGCAGGCAGCAGACACAAACAGCACGGGCGACAACAAGAAACAACACAGCCACGCGAGTACACGAATGCCCGTCAGCCAACCCACTGCGCCCCACCCGAATCCGGGACGGTGCGGGTGAAGGGGTCAGGGCGGCGGAGCGAGCGGCGTCAGCGTGGGCGGCGACACCAGCGCACAGGAGGCACGGGAAACACCGCAAGGGCTCGTCCGGCGCCTGTGGGACGCTGCGCCGCCTCCTCCCCGATGAGGAGTGGACCACGTTTCCCAGAAAGTTACACCAAAAGAAGAAGAAACAGTCATAAAAATATAATGACACATAAAGACTCTCTCCGAAACACACACAAAAATGCTCTTGTTTTTCTTCCATCTTGCGAGACGTTTTTCACTTCATTGCGTTGGTTTCACTCAACATTTCTGATCACAAACTAAAAAGTAGGGGACAAAAAGAGTCCTGCACGCCTGTTGAGTCCTCGCAGAAAAGCGGCCCGCCTTTTCTTGTACGCATGACCACCCACCATCGGCGGCCGGTGCGTTGTCACCTCGGTATATATATTCGGTCTCCATGGCTGCAGCCCCCTCCCACGTGTCGGCATGCAGGGTCATCCTCGACGGCGGCACGCCCCCTCCTCCCCTGTGAGTCTCGGCGCTCGGCTCCTCAGTAGTTTCCGTAGCGCTCCTCCGGGATACGCATATTCTCAAGATCGTTGGGGAGGAACTGTGGTGCCGGGGAGAAGCCGCCAAAATAACCCGCCGGCGTCGGCTCAAGGCTGCCACCCCGTTGCCGGCACGGGCCCCATCCGGAGTTTGGGCCGCCCATGTTCCCAAAGCCCTCCGGCGACGGCGGCATTTCATTCGGGACCGTGCACCCCTGTTGCATCATCTGCCGCTGCGTCTCGGCAACCATTTGTTGAACGGCCCGGCGCTGCATGTTGTACTGCATCAGCCGCATTGCGCCGTACGGATCCGGGCAGAACATCACGGAGGCTCGTTGGTCGTGTTTCGTCCCTTTCGCGCTCTTGTCCGTGGGCCCCGTGCCACCGCAGGTACGGGCAAACACGCAGACACAGGCAGGGAGGGGGAAAAAAGAGCAACAACAAAGCACCAATGAAAGGAGTACGACAAGGCCAAAGAAGCAGCAGAACAAAAAAAGGAAGAAAGAGCGAGACGGCGCGGAGTGACGCCCCACACACCACCACGACGCTCCCACGCATGTCGTTGCATGTAAAATGGTGCAAGTGGAACGGAAAACACCGCTTGCGGTCAACAAAATAACGCCGTGCCACTCCTCTCCCCGTCCCATTTATATCCCTTCCAGGCACAAAAGCCGCACAAATTACACGCAGCGGCAGGCACACAAAATCACAAAAATATGCGCACAATAAACCAATCAAAAAAGGAAGACCCGCCACCCCAGCAGAAACAAGCACCACACGCATAAAAACATATAAAATGAACACCGCCGCACAAATGGGCGTATTTTGCAAACAGCAATTACAAAGCAAAACAGACAAACATAAACGGTGGATGGAAATGGCTCTCTTATGAAGTGCAGCAGATCCGGGAAAAGAAACCGCCCCGCGAAGACTTTTTCCCGCTCCTTTTCACGGAACTGCTACTGGCACTGTCGCTGTGCGTCGTCCCGCGCCTTGGCCTGACTTTCCCAGCAGCTCGTCCCTTATCGGCCGCGCCCTTTTGTTTTTTACGTGGGACGGCTACTGAGGGACTTGCCATGTCGGTTGGCGCCTCCTCTGATGCACCCAACGGATTCACCCGGGAGTTCCACTCCCTGTCGTCTTTGTCCAGCTCCTCTTCCTCTTCTATTGGCCATGGCGCACACAACGGGTGGACGTCCGCCAACATATTCCCGGAGACTTGAGAGCTGCGCGGACGTGTGGCGGACGGGAACAGGATGAGTTTGGCGGACCCGCGTCCTCTGGAGGCCGCGACTACGCCCGCCTCCTCCCTCTCCAATTCAATACGATTGGCACTGCTTCCCGCGTCCATGAAATTGCCACGCGATAAGAGCAGCTCGCCAGAGCTTCTCGC